TCATCAAAACCCCATCATTTGACAAGCTGTCAAACTAATTACAGTGAAGGTAATTCAGTAGAAGCTGGCAACAATACAAAATAATTCGCCAACTTTATAAATTACAATAAAGCCCATCTTACTCTTGCGTGCAAAAGAGTCTTGCTGATTTAAAGACAAGGATTCTCGTCCAATAAGTTCATATTTTATCACACTAACTCGGATTTAACAGTAACAGACTATCTACAAATTGTTTGTCTCTTATTCAAATACGTATTCATTAAAACATATAATTGTTATCAGCGAAGAATACGCAATCAGCCTAAGGAGTTCAAATTCCTGCCTCATCTGGTGCGTTTCTTTTTCTTTTTATGTGCCATGTCCTTTCAGAAAGTAGGCGATTATAACTCTCCGCCTCCTCCTATCCTTTGCAGCTCTCAGCAAGATACTTCCCTATGGTTCCTACCCCCCAGACCATGTTCTGTCATCCACCTGCTCAAGCTCATCAAGTATGTCAGGCGCTGATTTCCTTGTCTCTCTTTCCCTCTATTCGACCCGTGAGTATCAGATTCCCCAGGTCTCCTCTTTTCTTTCTTTTTATGTGCCATGTGCTTTCAGGACATAGGCGATCATAGTTCTCCACCTCCCTGTATCCCTTGCAGCTCTCAACAAGTTTCGTTCCTCTGCACACACCCCAGACCATGTTCTGTCATCCTCTTGCTTGTTGTTTTCCCTCGTTTCTCTTTTCTGGATTCGACCCGTGAGTATCAGATTCTCCAGGCCCTCCTTCCTCATTATGTGTCCCAGAAACTTCAGCTCCCTTTTCCTGATGTTAAGTATAACCCTCCTCCTCGTTTACATCCTCTCTAAGACCTCATCATTGCTCAAACGCTCGGTGCATGATATCTATAGCATCCTCTGTAGAATCACATCTCCGTCGCCTCGAGACTCTTATTCATCTTTGCGGAAATTGTCCAACATTCGCTACCGTAATGAAGGATAGCTGTCACGTAACAGCTCAGTATTCATTTCAAAGAAATCCTCCTGTCTCGCAATACTCTGTCCAGCATTTGGAATGTATCCTTGGCCATCCCAATACGTCTATGGATCTCAGTGTCGCACTTACTGTCCTCTGTCAAGACGCTGCCCAGATATTTAAACTTTTGCGTCTGATTGATTCTAGTGTTCTCGACCTGCAAATCGTATTTCGGGCTCTTCCTCTTACTGATGACTTGGTGCGTTTACTCTCTCACTAAAACTTAACAGCAGGAGGAAAGACCAAATTGGCTAAAAAAAAACAAAAACTAATTCCATAAATGAAATGGAACTAAAAAGATTCTATATACAGCAGTAGAATAGTCAGGATGTTTCAGAAAAATTCATATCATTTCGTAAACTAACAACTTGACCAATTCTTGATTAAATGATCTCAAATTTTAACAGATTGTGTAGAAAGAAGACTGAATTTTACACTTAATGTTTTATTTATTTTTCAGATATGGAAATGCCGTTTACAGCAAAATAAACCGCGTTTTACGTGTTAGAGGATGTTCAAGCACAGTCAGACACAGCGCATCTGTGAGAGAATTCGCTAAAAATGCACCAATTGCAATGTAGAAACGGATCTGGCAGAAGAATCGCAGAACGGAGTTGTGAACAAACAAAACAATTTGTTTGTGAATAAACAAGATAAAAGGGCAAAATTTGTTAAATCATGAAATCCACATACATTTGAATTTCTCTATCAAATTTGCTCAACAATAAGACTGTTCAATATTATTTTTTACGCTATTCAGATATCAACTGTTTTGAAACATTATTTACATTATTCAGACTATTGTCCTCATATTTGTTGCTATATTTATTACAACTTTTCGGCGTTGTAAACTCCGGCCTTCTTCAGCTGGTTGGAATGTCGAACTGAACTCTTTATTTCGCTCACTGGAGTAGACTGTTCTAGTTCCACGTGCCATGTTTAATGGATGTCAGTTATCAGTTATCTCCTGTTAATTTCACTATGAAAGCTCTCCACTGCCTTAACCGGGTATTGAACTCACACACTTTGGGTTCTGTAAGTGGATTTAACTAACGCCTTTATTCATTGTGCTTTTTGTCCTTGAGGAACACCCTTTACAATATCATAGAAAATGTTACACACACCCACACACCGAGAGACACATACAAACATATATATTTATTTATTGCGTGTGGCCGAGTGGTTACAGCGTTGGTTTTCCGACCATGTCGAATTATCAGGAAAGTAAGTTGTTGATGTTATCTGCCTGTAGAGGCGATCCCAGTGGGCAGCAGCATTGGAAAATCACCGAAAATCATATCATGTGTTGACTCAACCCCCTTGTGTGAGAAATTGATTAAACACATTTGTTCGTTGTTTTTTTTTCCGTTGGAGGGTCTTGTCTCAAGACGTAGAATGCAGGGTGCGAGCGATAAATTGTCGTCTAAGGTACTCAAAAATTTAAATAGTACGGACTACTCATTTTGACAGATATATTTTTAGCAGAATCGCACAAAAAATGTATTGAATTACTAAAGAGTACATTTATTCCAAAATCTTCTTTGGCTTCAACCGCAGCATCCAGACGACCTCGGAACCTCAAGCAAATTTTTGGGACGGTCTCCATGTTTAGCTTGGTGAACGCTGTCATATATATATATATATATATATATATATATATATATATATATATATATATTGACGTGTGATGAAAGCAGATAGCCTAAACACTGTGACACCATTTAGGGGCACAAAAAGAAAAAAAAAGGAAAGGAAAAAGAGAAAGGAAAAGAGAGGCGAGACTTAAGCTTAGATGATAAAGGAAACCACCCACGACCGGAACATTGACATTATTATTTGGATAGTAGCAAATGGTGAAAGGTTTCATTGCCATTGCAGAAAATTCTAAATAGACTTATATTATCGGGAATAGATAACAGCCACTTAGTGCTGGCGAACATCTAATTGACAAACTCCAGACGGGCTAGCTAAACTCCGAGACATTTTGACAATCTTATTTTGATAATGGAAAAAGATGGTGAAAATTCTGACGGCCAGTGTCGTAGGACTGCCTGACAAGGGCCAGGTGAATACAGAGCTTTGGATAGATAAGAAAAATTAACTGTGTCAGAAGGGGCAAACAATATTGTCGGGAAAGGATTTAATAGGTCATCTGTTAACCGCACACGAAGCCAACCCTGGGTTAAGTCTTTGCCGTTTGGACAAGACATCTATGGGTGTTAGAATTCGGTTATGATAATAAAACTATGTTATCAGAAATTGGCACCAAGAAAACAAATACGGCTAGGACAATGAAACTGTTTTTCGGGACGGGAATCGGCTGTGTTTCGCTAGACGACTACCCACTTGATAATTGGCGTTGATAGATCCCAGGTGACATTGGGGATGAGACCTGAGATTAAGGAAAAAAAAAGGAAAAGAAAAAGATAATTTTTTTTTTGAGCAAGATATATTTTTTTTCTTAAAACAAAGCTAGCCGGATCACACACACCCGGTTGGACGCAATTGGCCGAATGTCAACGAGGGCCAGGCGGAGGTGATCACGTGACGCAAGGGGGGGAGCCCGCCGCCGCCTATTTAGTGGATAGGTATGAGAAGTTGCTACGAAGAAGTGGGGAGAACCGTTGATGCCCCTCTGAAGTATGGTGAGATATCTATATGAGAACAAGAGAATGTGGGAGTAAGAGAAGACTTCCAAAAATGGAAAGGAGTGGAAAATTCCTGACCAAAAATAAAAGAAGTGGATATGGATTTAGAATTATCGAGGAACCTCAAACCCCGACAAAGCCCACCCCAGTTTTGGTCGGCGTCCATATAAGCAAAGTCGCAGCGAGCGGAAATCAGTTCGGACTCCGGTTTACCAGAGTTCAGTTTCCAGTGCTCAGTTGAAGCGGGCCTCGCAGAGCTGACTTGAAAGATTCGCGCAACTTCCGAACTCATCTTCAATCCAAGAACAATTTATTTTTGAAGAGCGACTTATATTCTTACCACCAACACAAGTGTTACGACTTCCGCCTGAAGACACACCAAGAACCAATTTCTTAAAGAAAAGACAACTTAAGATGTTAAAACTCACCTAACAAAAACAACGTGTCACAATCCATATAGCGGGTCGGGAGATAGACGTAGTCCTATGTATCCAGCAACCAGATATAAAGTATTGTTATCCTTTTTTTTGATACCTTGAACTTTTGAGTTATTATTTTCTTTTCTTTTATGCATATTTGTGTGATACCACCCTCGTTTGAACTCAGCTTGCATTACGGACCCAACGACTGATTGATTTCGTCTGCTTAAGATCAATTCACAACGTGTGTAGGCGAACTGGAGATCAACGCATTTACTTTGGTAACCAGACGTTGGAAGCGCGTGGGGAACGACGGGGCTGATATCGGATCTGACCAGATTCCCATCCGAATCACTAAAAGGTTAGAACGTCACATTTGGGTGCTACGACCAATACCAAGCCTGTTGATCGTCACAGGACGGGACAACACGACTGACGCAGACAGGCGGACGTCACGTTTGGAGCGGCGACACCCGAACAAAGCAGCGAGGAGCGAGCGAAGGCTGTAGAGGGACGTCACACACGCATATACGCATACATTAGGGTTAATTTCCGCCTAGCAATGGAATAAAGGTCACGTGGGTGTCTTATGACTAGTTGGTTGACAGACCCAATTACCCGTAGCGACAAATATCTAGACAGAAGCTAGACAGGGGACGGATGTAAGCTAGAATTCGCGCCAAAATTTAAGACACGTGACAGTCAGAGATTCACTCGAAAATCAGTTGCTATCTTGACTTGGAAGAGACAAGACCTGAAGCCGAAGCGCTGATAGTTTATGAACGGAAAGATAAGACGCATTTGATAGTGATGGAACTTATCCAGTTCAAACCAGGCAACTCCGGACAAGAAATATAAGAAATATTCCTGTTCGAGAATCCCAAATTGAAGACGCAGAGAAAGTTATATGCTGAGGATTCAGCCTGCGTTTAAAGAAAAAAGGAAACCAGAGAAGAAAGCATATACCTCTGTTACAAGTTGAATTGTGTAAAGAAAGAAAAAGGAAAACCAGAGAAGAAAGTGTATACCTCTGTTATAAGCTGAATTGTTTAAAGAAGAAGAAGGAAAGAAAGAAGAAAACCAAAGAGAGGAAGAAAGTGTACATCCCTGTTGCAGTGAGCCGGATTTGGAAACCGAGCTGTCTACAGAAGAAAAAGAAGGAAAGAAAAAGGCGAAACAAAGAGAGGAAGAAAGTGTATACTTCTGTTACAGTTGGACAGTGTGTGAAATTGTGTTTGTGTCGAGAAAAGAAAAGAAAGGACATTGATATAAAAAAGAGAACTGAATATAAAAGATAAGTAATCCTATTTTGAACCCGTAATAGAAAGATATACATACATCCATGAATATTATGTTTTTGCAAACACCTTTCCACATATAAAAAAATAATTGTAACTCCTATCCCATCTCTTTTGTGTACGCGTTGGCTTCTGCATTCAATTCATAGTAATTCATACTTATATTTTTGTATGTTCGGATTCAGTTGAATCCATTTGGTGTTAGGCGAATTTTGATATCCCAACGTAAGTTTTGAGATCTGGTCGTCGGATGTTTTAACTCATACTTATCTGTTCTTTTATTTTGATATTTCTATATTTGTACATATTAAAATTCTTGTATCAAAAATCGCTAAGCCTTATAGTTCATCCGTGTATTGTGGATCAGTATTCGTGTTGAAAACGAAGCGGACTTGGGAAAGATTACTGTTCGATTATCCCAATCGAACAGTGGTCTTAAAAAATATTTTTGTTTACCAATTGTCCATTGTCACGATCTGAGAGAGATAGCTTGCATCTCTCCACAGGTGTGAGAATGTATATATCTCCTAGTCGGCGTGTGATCGCCCTATAAACCCATTCGTCGACTGGGGCATATGACAATATATATATATATGAAGAAATATACTCTTAAGGCGTGCTATATTTATGCTCAGTATCAGAGATAGAGCGTGTGTAAATATAAAAAAGTAAACATTGAAGTCAACACTTAGAGGCACTTACGCGTCTAAGTGTTGACTTCAATGTTTACTTATATATATTAAAGCAATAAAAATATATTTTCACAACCTCTTTCTCTTTCTCTCTTTATCTCTTTCTCTCTCTCTCTCTCTCTCTCTCTCTCACACACACACACACACACACACACACAAACACACACACTCCAGAACATCAGTGCATATAGGGCGCGATGCATAAATTGTCGTCCAAATAACGCAAAAATGAAAATATTACTGACATCCCATTTTGACAGATATATTTACCAAATTTATACAAAAATATCTTGAAATACTAAAAAGTACATGTATTCAATAAAATCGACATTAGCTTTAACCACAGACTCTAAAACGTTCATATTTGAGCTTCCGGTGCGAATGCCAAGCACTATGTCATGCCTTTTCCATATTTCCGTCGGAGTGAATTGAGTCATGAATCTCGTTTTCTTGGACACTTTATAAATAATCATACTTATTATAAACCCAGGTTTTGTGTGTGTGTGTGTGTGTGTGTGTGTCTGTACGTTTATATATTGGATCGGATTTCCTACATTTTTGAACCGATTTCAACAAAATTTTACAGAACTACGTAAAATTACTGTGCGGTGGTTCTGACAGCGCCCAAAATTGGAAAAAACACAATTGTTTTTGCACGAAATCAATTTTTAAAACACGATTAAGAGGCATCGCTTTCGCGGAATGAAAGGGTGACAACTCATATCGAGTTATACTTATTATAAAACCCAGCTTGTTTGTTTGTGTGTGTGTGTGTTCGTTTATGTATGGGATCGGATTTCCTACATTTTTCAACCGATTTCAACAAAACTCACTTGTTTTTTTGCAGGTAGTGTTTCTTATTGTCTTGCAGACTTTTTTTTCTTTATTTTTACATTCAGAATCCTTAAAAACTTCCATTTACAAGACAATTGCTTATAATAAAATTCTATTCAATCGGTAGACTCATAACGATTGAAAACAATTATTAAGACATGCGTGTCCGTCAACCTTAAACAATAATCTTTGTCAATTTTATTTTTCAGTCTTTATGATGGTCGATACTTGATCTATCTCTTACTGTTACATCTCCGGGCAACGCCGGGCTGTACTGCTAGTCTTCCAATAAATGATTGCAATTACGTTTCATTTCAATTGGCATGATCCACGTTCTGGAGGGACATATAAAGACTGTGTGTGTGTGTGTGTGTGTGTGTGTGTAAGAGAGAGAGAGGGAGAAAAAAGAAAGAAAGAAAGAGAAAGAGGTTGTGAAAAACTCTCTTTATTTCTTTAATATATTAGAAGCTATGTCCGAGTGTTATTAACATTTACATGGTAGTAATCACAAAGATGACAGAAGCTTTAACAAAAAATTCTAAGAAACAAACCATCGTTCTTCATCACATGTTGACAACAAAACAAATCGTATGCATAGGGGCAACGCCATGGGATAATATATCCGCTTAATTTAAGTATATCTGAAAATCTTCGAGCAAGTAAATCCCTTGTGTTTTTCAGATTAATTCGTTTCAAATATTCGAGACGTGTTTTGATTAATTTTCCTCGCGGCATGCGCAAACTAAGTCTCAAATTAATAATGTGTTTTTCTTCTCAGTATGGATTGTCTTCACAAATCCACTGAAGCTGAAACGTATATCGGGGAACAGAACGCAGCTGATTGAGGCCACTGGAAAGTGTCACAATCATTAACAACTGAAACTCTCTCTCACATTATTCTAGAGATCAGAAAAACCAGAGTGACTGCTACGAAGAGGTGGTGGATAAGATAATAATGCGTGTGCAGTTACTAATGTTGGGAGTTTAATCCTCAATATATGTATATATATATATATATATATATATTGTTGTTATATGAAATATAATGGAGGAAATGTCCTCAGTATTGAAGATGGTTGGTAGGTAGATATCGACAATGTGGGAATTAACATCTAAATTTCTCCAGAATATGTACATGGGTGTGTTTATACATTACTTACCACTTGGACTTGATATATTTATTATGCATGAATTAGATTTAATGAAACAAAACAAGAATCAATCAGTCGACACGGACAAACAATATTTTGGATAACAATGAAGTAGTTTTAATTTTATTTTCCAATGCTCAATTTTATATTAATATTAACACTAATATATTTATATTTACATGCATTCTATCCCAGAAATTGAGCACTGTATCCCATACATATACCACACATTAAAACTATATTTCTGCATATATATATATATATATATATATATATATATATATATATATATATATATATATAGTCTCCCCGTTTAGACCGTTACGTCTTCGTGACCAAGTTGGTGAAGGCGTGCCGGGTTTAACAGTGCGTAGATTCAAATCCTGACGAAGAGTGCACGTTTTTCTTCATGAAGTTTACACAAACATTATACGAATAACTTACTGGATATTTTCCTGTATTCAGATGCATGTAAGACACTAAATATACATACAATGTCCGATGGATAAATTGTCGTCTTAATTACGCAAGAATGAAAATAGCATTGACAAGTCATTTTAACAGATGTATTTTTCCAAAATTACACAAAAAATATCTTCAAATACTAAAGATTAAATTATTCAATAAAATCGCCATTAGCTTCAAGCACGATATCCAGACGACTTCGAAATCTCCTGCATCTCTTCTGGACGGTCTCCTTGTCTAAGTTGATGAATATAGGCATGCATAGACTGCGATTGATAAATTGTCGTCTAAAAGACTCAAATATGAAAATAACACTTCATCTCATTTTAACAGATATTTTTACTAAAATTTCACAAAAATAAATTGAAATAATACAGCCTTCAGACGACTTCGGCATCTCTAGCAAACCTTTTGCACGGTCTTGTTGTTTAAGTTGATGAATGCTGCCGTAATCCTTGCTGTCAGTTCATTTTTGGTCTTACAAGGAGTTTTGTTGGTCTCTCGCCCAATTGCGTACTGCACACAATAACCAAGGGGGTTGCAGTCTGGGGAGTTAGCCGGCTAGATATAAGATGTGGTCGAAGAAATTGTCAGACAGCTTGTGTGGCATGGTGCAGAATCCTGTTGCCAGACATAAGGTCTTTCATTAGCTAACGTCTTGACCCAAGGCAGCACTATCTCCTTGATAGCAAACCTTCGTGTTGTGTGTGAGGTCTTGAGGGAAGATTAAATGTATCAGAGTGTTACCATCACTAGTAATCACTCCAAAACCCATGATATTAAGTGGATATTTGGTTTTCTTTAATCCCTGTACAACTTTGGAGGACAAAGCATCCTGCAGTTTTGGTCTGCCAACAGACGGAAAAATGTAAGAATGTTGAAAATAAACGAGAAATAATCAAATTTCATTGTCTGTCATATTCAACGAAGTATAAATAAAAGTTACTGCCCAAATATTCATTAAACATATATATATATATATATATATATATATATATATATATATATATATATATATATATATATATATTTATTTAAAAAATTATAATATAAATATGTTATAAAATCACTACAGAAATAGCCATTTTGATACAACACCTGCATTCGACCCCCCTACGATTACAAAAAGGCGATGATGATGATGTAAATGTGTGTCTACATGCGCCTATTTCTGTAACAGAATATATATATATATATATATATATATATATATATATATATATATATATATATATATATTTACAAATTCATGAATTATTCACACAAAAACAAATGCAAAGGTTAATGATTTAATTTGCGAGAAATCCATCGTCGCAAACAATTCAAATAATATACAAAAACCTCCGAATCCGTTATGAATGAAATGATCCTTGTTTCTATAAATTTCTGCCGTATTAGTTCTTATTTTTACTACAAGCTTTCGTCTGTTCCTACAGACATCTTCAGATATAGAATAGATGTTGTTCTTGTTTTTTCTCTTAGTAATAAGAGGACAACGAAAATATATCTATTGTTGTATCCGAAAATGCTATTGGAAATGAGTTATTGTTTTTGGAGCGCGCAGTAGCAACGCTGAGTTTGATTTTAAATTTTTAAAAGTTGTGCGTTCATATACAAATATGGTGATGAACGAATTTTTTACTGGTAAATTTTCTGTCAAAGTGGCATGAACTATATTGTTCAATAATTACAGTAATGTTGCACTTATTATCCAAAAGTCGCACTTGGATCAGTTATTTAAATTACGGTAAACGTGCAATCAA